TAAAATTCCCCCTTCAAGGCTGTAAACATGTTTATTTTTTACCCTCAAAGTTGGACATGGGGCTGTAAAAGGGGGCTGACTTACTTTTTTAACCAAACCCCTAATGGAAACTTGAGGTACTGCAGTTATTGCACTCAAATGTAACCTTCACTTTTCCCTCCCTGTGGTTGCTGCTTGAGTAAAACACATTGAGATCTCCACCTCTGGTTCCATGTGGGAGTCCAGTTCAGTAACCCAACTCCACCTCCGCCCTGTAGGAAGGAGGCGGGCTGAGATAAGGGACTTTAATGGACTCATGGTGGGGGATTTGACATGGTTTGTTGGAGGGGTAACATCCTTCACAGACGCTGAGTTTCTGCTGCTGTTCGACCTCTCTTTTATGACTTCCTGTTTTTTAGAAAGCATTTCCATCCTTAACTTCCAAAATGCATATTGAGTTCTGTTTGCGTCAACATTAGTTATTCCAGCCTGAAACCCCAAATTTTATTCCTTCTTCTTTGTCAAAATGAGGTGTCAGTGATGCTCGCTCCATTTAATTGTTCCTCTTGCCCTGATTTGGTAAACTTACCCTTCCTCTAGCCTCTACGGGTTAGGGATCAAAGGTCAGGAGGACTGGTCTGTTGGTATGACCTCCAGTAAACACTGTCACTTACACCAGGCCATGAATCATTCAGTATCTCCACTCAACAAACACGTCTGTTTTCTGACTGTGTGCAAAATGTGTTACGATTTGCTGCTGAAAATAACCCCACATCATGAATCAAAATAACTCTGAGCACCTTATTTTGTAGTCCGCAGTGTTTTTTCTCAAAGCTGCTGATCCATGTTCTGCATTCCAAACATGCGGTGTTTTATGGCTGCTGATGTTGGCGGTGGGGAAAAGCCAAACTCCAGGCTCAGTCTGCTGAAGTCATTATGTTTGTGACGGACAGCCTCTGAAATGTTTTACTGTCAAAGGCCCGCTGCCCAGGAACTCCCACCCTCTCCCATGTGGACCCCTGCAGCCAAGCCTCAGTTTGTGCACACACACATACATATGTAAACACATTAGCCAAAGCTGCATTCTTAAAATATGCACCCAACAGCCTGCACAGTGAATCACATGAAATAAGAAGATACATTTGCTACATCTTGCAGTAGCTGGGTTTGTTCAGTGAAGTTCAAAGTCATTAAATTAATTTTTGGCAGTTTTGTGAAGTTGTTGTTGGCAGCCTACTGCAACCTGTCTGACTTGCTAAAATACTGTGCATTTATAGGTGAAAGCCACTCCTCTTCTGGCACAGCCTGACATGTGGCTCCTTCATCTCTCTGTGTTTGGTCTTTGCAGGTTGCTACATTCAGTGAGGTTTTGCCCACTCGGGAGCACCTGGCTGGTCTTCACGGGTGTCTGGCTAAGATCGGGCTATTTCATTTATTCTCTCTTTGGCCATCATCTCCTTTTGACACTATGTGTCTTGTTCATGTCTTTGTTGTATCCATCATCATTCCCCAACACACATCATCCACTCACTAAATAGCTGTACAGAGCCATGCTGTTGTAATCTCTGCAGAATGTGGTTTGTCTTTGTCTTGCTGGAATATGTATGTTTTCTCTGAAAAAGTCATTGTCTGGATGGAGGCAGATGTTGCTCTTAAACCTGTATTTATTGTTCAGCATTAATGAAGCCTTCACTGATGTGGAGGATATAATTCTGAAGAAATTATTTCTTGTTATATGGAAAGGGTAAGTACGCATGTGTACAAACAGGCTTTTTCAACAAGTTAAAGTTAAGTAATGAATTAATGACATTTTTGTCTTTCTAAGATTTAATACTTTTTGTTCAGAAAAAATGGGGTTTAGGTTTTTTTCGTCATTGTTGGTGCAGTGGTCCTTCTATATTTTCACTCTTTTTTGAAATATTCAAAGAGGAAGTTGCATGTTTTTATGAAAGCCATGTGACTTACTGAGATGTTCAGTCAGTGCATCTACCTGAGAGTTATATTCTAGACTGGTGAGGGATGTGTGTGAAAAAAGCCACATAACAGAGTTTAAGGGATTTTTTAAATTATTTTTTTTTTTAGATTTTTTTTATGAATAATAATCTTCACAGTTGGCACCCAGCTGAAATGAGCATGATACAAACTAAAGTGGTTTAAATTCAGTTTATTTCAGTTAAATATAAACACCTTCATTTACTCCTTTGGGGTCAGCTGATATGATGCAGCTTGTTCATCAAAGACAAAATTAAAACAATTTACAGACAACAACATATTACTCCCAACAGCTGATCATTAAACAAGATCTAAAAGGAATAGGGACATCAACACTATTATAATTTTTTTTATCACATTCGGAAGCAGACACATTTATTAGCCTGTTAATAACTTATTGAAATTAACTCCTTACATGGATATCAATTTCAAACAATAATCAAAAACTTTGACTTTGTTTACATTCAGTTTTCTTTAACGTCTTTATTTTTATGTTACCTAACTTCACCACAGAAACGCAGCACTGTGGCATCAGATATCTGCTCTGAGCTTGATAGTATCTGGTGATATGTCAGTCATGAACGACTGCGCTCTAAAAGCTGCCTCTTGTTTAGAAATGACACAAACTAAAAGCTGTTTTGGAGCTAAAAAGCCAGTTCTTGCTGTGACAAATGACCCGAATCAGTAAAAAGAGCCTGAACTCCCATCAATGAGAGTTGACATGGCGGTTGGTAGTTTGAGAAAGAAGAAGGATCCAAACCTGCTCATACATGGTGAGATGGATCGCAGACAACTTGATCAAGAGTATTCAGCCTTTCTGAGAGTAATCGGTGGATGTTAACGAATATCATGTGTTTGGATTAAATCTTACCCTCTATTTGGACAGCAGGTTAAGGTTGGACTGTCAGACTTTCAACAGATATCAACGTTAACTTCCATTGATTTTGACATAATTAACTCCTCAGCCGTTACTTACGGTAGTGTTAACAGATTAAGAGTGTTTAAGTTTGCCTGTGCTTACCTCTGTTAGTCAGTAACGTTTAAACACCGTCAAACACCTCCAGCAGTAACCTGCACACCCTTACATAAACTGAGCTCAAACACATCTCATTTTGAAGCAGAACACATCAGGCATGTGGACACACACATGGCACACGTATGCCTCGTATGAGCTCAATAACACATGTTACAGTCGTCAGCACATCCAAATCTTAAAGCTCAGACCCATCGGCACCTCCCCCCTCCCTCCTGTTTTCACAGCATCTTTAAGCTGTGGACTAGAACGCACATTTTAGCCCCTCAGACCCTCAGACCTGGTTGTTTCCCATGAGCCTTTGTACAGAGGTCATCTCTGTGACAACACAGAATGGATGGCGTGCTCATCTGCTGACTGACCAGAGTGAAAATCCGTCATCGAAGCCCTGTTGTCAAACACTTTCACAGAGGTGTTTGCTAACCTCTAATCCTTCGGCCACAGGGGGGACTGTGACAGCTCCATGTAAACACGAACACACACACACACACACACACGCACGCACACACATACACACATTAACGGGCTGTTGCTCACGGCTGATTTTAAACCTCCTCATTAAACACATGAATCATTTTAAAGTTGTTAACCAGCAGAAAAAAATCAGAAACATCAAAGAGCAGCCGAGATTCACTGCTACTGCCTCTGTTAACATTTAATTCTTGTTGACCAGAGATCATCAGAGCATTCAGCAATATCTGTGTTTACAATGAGCCTCATAAGCCCAAGCAAATGATATCTGGCTGTACACTTCCTTGTTTGCAGTATAAGATGCACCATCAAAACTATTATTTACAGCCCCTTTAAAATACTTAAAACAATTATTCTGGGTTGTTATCGCAGCATCTAAGGCCTTCAAGAGAAATTGGAACCCAGGCTGAGCGAGGATGCTGTATCTAGGAGTCGGGTTCACCTAGTGGGCATAAACTAAGTTAGGTTGGATTTAGCTACGACCTGCCCTTTGACCAAACTCACTTGTGGTGCACCAAGCCTGACAGAGAACGGCTGCACCTCACCTCTCTCTTCTCTCTCTCTCCTTCAAAACTGTATCTGCAGGTGATGTGTAACACCACAAACAAAAACAAAACATGGCAATCAAATAGCAAAATATGGAAACTCCCTCATCCCGTAGCTTCTTCTGGGTCGCTGCTGCAGACGTACTGCTGCTGTGGACCTGCCTTCTTTCCAGCTGCTTCAACTTGCAAGCATCATTCCCACCATTTTGATCACTGTTATCCGAATGTAAAATGTAGATCTTTTTGATTCCTTCACTTGCTAAATATTTCACTCATGTCGATGATAAGAGTGGGCCTGATCTCAATCTCAAACCCAGCTAGTGCACTCAGCCCTTGAATAATACATGCAGGTAGAGGCCTCACGACGTCTTTTCTTCAACTTACAATACTTAACCACCAACAGCAGAACATATGTGATGGAAACATACTCTTGTTTGTGTTTTGTTGGCTCATAGCAACACCATGAGTGCATCTACAGGGCTGAATCGATGAAAAAAATATCCCTAGGGATGATCACAAAGTGGGGTTGTGGGCTCGTCCTGGAAGGTATAGCCATAAAAGATGTCGGATACATTTTTGCATCTTTCATGGCTGTTTAGAGTGAATGTATCATTACATGCAAACATCAGACAGTATCAGATCGTATTCCTCATAATCAGTCGGCCTCAATTTAATCAATGTCAATCAACAGAAGGATAAAGTGAGCGTGAAACCACAGCTTTTGAGCTGGGCCTTTCCTCCAAGTGTTTTTCATTCAAGCAGAGGATGTTCTCTCTTTTCAAAATGTCAGAGCGTTTAGTCGAAATGATTTAGTTTGAGGCCAGAGCTGAATTCTAATAAATGCAAACCACAGGAAGGGAGCATTTTGAGAGGCTGCACAGTGTAAGAAAACACTCTCAGACTGGACGTTCACGTTGAACTGTTTATTCCTTTCACCCCGCGAAAAAATCCTGATCCCAGGCATTTTTAGGAGAGGTGTCATGGCGGGGGCTCTGGTGTTGATGATCCTAAACAGACTCCAGATGTTGAAGGAGGGTAGAGGACAAGAGTGCAAGAGGCCTGACAGAAAGACGGAGCAAGCAGGAGAAACTCAGGAGGAGACTCTGCCGGCCCCTCAGGACCCCACAGGGGACGTGACTAACCACTGGGTCACATCCGTCTCCTTCTTTCAACATAAAGTCATTCCTCTCTTTCCTCCTCTCCTCGATACGTGTCAAAGCCTTCCTGGCAGCAGCATTCCTCAGGTCCAGCCTCCTCCATCTTATCAATATCATAACTTCTAAATTTACTGTTTCCGCCGCCAATTCTGTCCCAATCTGCTCCTCTATTCTGGGTTTCATCCCTTTCCTGCTGTCCTCTCTCTGCTTGTGGCCACGTTTCTTCACAGAGATGTCTCTGTCTGTGAAAAACAGAGGAATAAATTTACTGGAAACATGAATGCAAATGAATGCAGGACTGGGTTTATTCTTTCTCAAAGAGCTGGCTTGTTTTCCTGACAGCTCTGTGCAGCGGAAGAGGAGGAATCTGCACTTTCCATCAATCCTCTCCTAAAACACACACACACACACATATACACACATAGACATGCATATACTAATGTTCCCGTATTCCTGCTATATTTGTACCAAACCTCTTTACTTAATAGAACAAATCAGTTTGCAGGGACAGAAATCAAATCAGTTGGAGTCATTTATCTGTATGAGCTCTCTGCAGTTGTACATTTATGTAAAAGTCAGCTAAATATGAGAAGATAAAGTGCTGCTATTTCAGGAATACAAGGATTTTTTCCATTAAAAGGATTTATCTTGGTTATCGGGGACTTGAATATGTGGGGGTCACTGTCTCTAACTCACACACTCACACACACAGACACACACACACACACACACTGAGCTGCAGGAAATGTGTGCTACACTGCCATCTACAGAAACACACAGCTATTTCCTGCAGCATTATACAGGCTCAGTGTCTGTGTCTGCCTTTAAATTCATACATTTCCATACCTTTATACTCTGCAAAGCTGTTCCACCTGCTTCCACTTGGAAACTTGAGTTTCCCTGCTTCTTAAAAATGTGACTTAAAACAAGCAGGAGCTAAATATTCAGGTCAAAGTCATGAGCTTTGAAACTGTATAAGTCAAATATACAGTACATGTTAAGTCCAATGAATGTAACAAGCAGATGTGTTGGGTATAACTATTCACTGTTAAGTTATTTTGAAAATGACAGTAATTTATTATTGTAAGTTATTCATTTACTTCAAGATCTTACAGCTATAACTGAGAATTAGAGTAACCTCAAATAGTGCTTGCACAACTGGATCCTGATAAGGAACAATAAAAGCCATCCAAAGATGCAGGGAGAAGGATTTAGTGGCATTTATCAGAATACATTTGCTGGAAATGAAGATAAGAAATCATTGCAAACCACATAAAAATTATTATTATTATTATTATTATTATTATTTTTACTTAAAGTGAGCTTCTTACACCTACATAAGGAGCAGGTCTCCTTCCACAGAGACTACCATGCACCACCACTTGGAGGAGGAAGAAGAAGAAGAAGAAGAAGAAGAAGAAGAAGAAGAAGAAGAAGAAGAAGAAGAAGAAGAAGAAGAAGAAGAAGAAGAAGAAGAAGAAGAAGAAGAAGAAGAAGAAGAAGAAGAAGAAGAAGAAGAAGAAGAAGAAGAATGTTTTTGATGGCAAAAAAAAATTGACAAATGGAAGATTGCATGTGTTTTGCACCACAGAAGCGTTTTGTCCTCAAAGGCCACCATTACTTCATTAATGGGAGAGGTGAGCAAGGGAGCCTGACTGCTTATAATGGTTGTTTGCTGGCAGGAAAGTCTAGACCTGCTGCTATTTTACATAATTTACCTCTCTTTTCAAATCTACCAGAGCAATCATAGTCTTTTATTTGAAGTTGGGGTGCTTTCTTTAAGATGACAGCACAGGACCGCCTCTGTAGCGACAGATTCTGCCGCTGGGAGGTCCACTTAATCTTCTTCCATTTTAAACAAAAAAGACAATATTTTCATTCAAATAAGAGCAAATGAGAGCACTAACAAAGCTCATGCGATACGAAGGCATCAGTTCAAATCAGGATGGTTTTCAGAAGTCATAATAGTCCAGGGGGTGATTTTTATAACCCATCAGTTTTGATCATATAAAGGCTGAAATTTATACATGAAAATGTAAAAAACTGCTGCACTGGCAGAAACTGTGTTTTTAGTTGTTTAACAGAATTAAGGCCTTTTTTATTTGCGTTAAGGATTTAAAGTATGATGCTTGATCTAGTCTTGTCAGGTATGTCTGGTTTGTTTGAAGGGTAAAGAAACATTTTAACCATAAACTAGACAAATACATCAGGTCAAATTGAAGGCATTTAAAATAAAGCTGACATATTTGGTTAAACAAAGATCGATTAATGTCACAGACTCAGTGCAGTATGTTTTATGGTGCAGTGCAGTGTGTGAATCCATACCTGTTCTTATCACGGTGCAGGTTTCTGCAGTCCAGCACACTGTATGAGTCTATGAGTGATTGACAGCAGTGTTCACACATGGAGCTGCTCATGAAATCCTCCTCTCTGTGACCTGCGGAGTGTAGCTGGAATGTTCCTGATTGAACACATCTTCTCTCCTGAATCCCACCTGATTACAGCGCTGCCTTCCTCTGACCCGCCTCAGCCTGAGTCACACCGGCCCATTGTGACTAAAAGACTTCAATCAGAGCCTAGAGCCGAGCTGTAATGACTTCCATCACACGCAGAAAATTGGACCTAACTTCAGGCTGTTTGACTCGCTGACATGTGTGAAGGCACGCAGCACTGCAGACGTTCAGACAGGTATATGTGGGCTGTCAGATCTCTGATTGACAGTAAAAGCACGTTCACATTTCTGTTCTTCATCCCTCTTATCTTCACCTCAACCACAGAAGCAGCAGAGAAAAGATGCTGGGAATAAAGGCTTGGGTGTGAAATTAATTTCCTTCCATCTGATTAAACCCAAGGGTCATGATGTATCAACCTCCTGCAGGAAAAATGTCAAAATCCAAGGAGAAAGCTTCTGAATACAGAGAAAACCTTTTATAGCCCGACTCCCTGCTGAGACATTCAAAGGATTTATTGATTTACCTGATTGTCAGAGATTGTAAGCAATCAAACTAAACCCCATTACAATTATCCCTCCTGAATATGCTTCACCCTGATTTTACTCAGATTCTCAGCAGAGGGTTTGAAAACTTCAGTGTTTAGATAAATTGAACCTGTTGAAATATTCTCATCTGTTTTCTGCATGACATTATTAGCACGATCAAAATAATTCTGATGGTTTCTAAATTACTGAAAGCCTATATGTAATTAAAATAATGAAAAGACAGCATAATAATTATTGAAACTGAAACAGAAAAAAAAAGTTTATTAAAATAAATACACAGTTTGAATTTGATGCCAACAACACATTTCAAGGATCAGCAAAACACTTTAAAAAGGTGTGTAATATTAATAAAACACCTGAAGAAACATCTCCCAACAAGTGAGGATAATATTACATGACTAGTTTTAAGAAAAAAGGATTTCAGGAGGCTGAGTCTCCAAGAAGAAAAGACAACAAGAAGTTTGAAACTCTGAGGGACTGAGGGAGTTGAACAGTGTCAAAGTAATGACAGGATTCCAGTGCATGCAGATCCGCTCCGCTCCGCTCTGGAATGGCAGGCGGATCAGAAACGCAACCATACAGTGCCCACAGGATCCGCGCTTGCGATATTACCGATATTTCTCGTGAGACTGGACAAGATTTCACGAGATCTTGTGTGTTTCACCGTAAGTCAATGAATGAGATTGGCAGTTTATATAAACACCCACATCCCACAACTCTGGCCCCTCCTTTTATCACGTGAAGAACAGTGGAGCCGGAGGGCAGACGGATTGTGTGGAATCCCACATATTGGTTATAATGTTTGCGTATTTGATTAGGCTGCGAAGCGCAGCCGTTCCGTATCCTGTGGAATTTAGCTGTAATGACATGATATCATGAAAAGATTCAGATAATCTGAAGATATCTCTGAGCAAAAGGGAAAAGGACCACAACCAATACTGGGTGGCCCTGATTTTTAGGCCCTTTAAGCCAGAGCGAAACAAAAATAAACATGACTCTACAGTGGAAGTCACCACATGGGCTCAAAAGCAATTCTGAAAACTATTTGTCATGGCATCCACAAACTCTGGTAAAAACTAAAACATGCAAAAGAGGAAAACAGACATGATCCAGAAGTGCCAGAAACTTCTCTCAGTCCATTTTAAATGGACTGAGGGGATGAAACCTGACCAATAAGGATTTGACATTTACCCTGAAACAAGCAGCGTGTTATCGTAGGGCCCGCTGAAAAAAACAGCTTTAACAACACAATTTCATTTCACCTCAATTATCAATGCAATAAAACCAGAATACGTCAAACTTGCTGCACCTTCATACCCTCTTGTCACTGCATGTTTAACTTCATTTTAATAAGCGAAATGTCCACCATGACTCCACGCCAAACTGTTACCCTGCACCATGCACAATGATGTATCTTTGTAAATGAAGCACTCTAAATATTGTTATTGACAAAACTCATCAGTCAGCTGATGTTGATGTCCAGAGGTTGTTGTTTACAGTCCCAGCAAATAATTTTTACGTATATATGCGCCGATCAAAAAGACTCGCCAAGGAAGTTAGTGTTCCTGCAAAGCTCCAGTCCAGATGTTCAGAGAGAGGGAGGAGGTGGAAAGACAAATATTAGTCTACTGGAAAGCTCGGAGAAGGGGGGGGCTTGGGGACGGAAAACATCAACAATATAAGAAGAAACAAAAACTCGGTGAGAAGAAGAAAGAGAGTGGAGAGGAGGTTAAAAAAGAAACGTCTGGCTGGAGAGAGTTTAGCTGGTTCTTTTTCCAAATATATACGCTAAAGCAAAACAAGTCAACATGTGTGTTTGCTCCTCAGAAAAACAGTTTCCTTTACATATTTATGCAGAGGGTCTAAAAATGACACAGTGTGATCATAAAGTATAATGAGAGTTGAGAAAAACAAGGTCAGCAGCAGAAAAAGAGAGAGGGAGAGAGCGTCTTTTTAATCAACCACCCAGGAAACAGAGATGCAGTTATCCTCCCTGAGGGTTTCTATGTGGAGCGATAAAATATAGAAGTTCAATGGTGTGTTTATACATATATAAAAGTTGCACACATATAAACACAGTTTTTTCATTAAATGTCTTAAGATACCTCTGAGAAAGCAGACTGAGGATGTGGGAGAAGCTTCGCCCCTAAAGCTGTGCTGCACCAAGACGCACACAATTTTAACCCTCGTTAAATCCGAGATTCATCAAACTTTAAAACTACTTCAGATACAGAAAAAAACATCAAGCCTTTAAATATGTTTGTTTTTTGCTCCTAACATGCAATAAAGTTCGGGTAGAGATTTGAATAAATGCGATACAACAATTTTTCAACAGGGAACAGTCTAGACCAGGGCCCTGATCTCTGAAACAAGTCTAGCATACCCAACCCTCAGAATATGTGAGCATAAAAAGAATAGGTTTACACCTTTCTTTCATATATGTATGACTGTATGAGTTTGTGTAGTCCCACCATCCCGTTTAAGTGGACTGATGAGTGTTGTCATACCTTTAACATCACTAAACTTCTTCTTTGCAGGGCTTATTTTGACCCTGTTGTGCTCCAGACTGACACCTGACCATGTGGACATGCTCATTTTATCAAAAAGAATAAGCATGCAGAAAACTGGACACTTTGGGGTTAAATATTGTTCTGTTTAGCTCTGTTGTTGCAGCAGCTCCAAGTTGAATAGTTTAGGCCTTGCTCTAACTAAGAATATATCTAAACATTATTGTTATGAGTCGGCTCTACATGTTGATATTGGCATGTTAAATGTACTATCAGTTTTATCTGGCATGCTGCTGTGAAAAACATACAATGAAGGCCCAAGTGTTTATTTTTTTTCTCCCAGAATAGTTCTTAAGTTGTTTGATGCTGTAAAAGTGACAACAACACCCTGACTGACAGCTCTGTTGACCAATGAGGCTCTTCCATCTTTGCACACAGTGAGGAGGAACGGGAGTCACAAAACTTCCTACAACAGTGAGTCTCTGCAGCAAACCTGAACAAGAATCTACTCTACTGTGGACTCGATGCTTGATCAGTAAGTTCTGGGTTTTTTGGGCAAAGTTAGGAACATGATGTCAACAAAGGCCCCACCGAGGAATCCCTGCTGCCCAGGATTTTCCTCCAAATACTCAAAATGCCAGTGGGATTTTCTTGCCTCATTTAAGCACAACTGGAGTCGGTGTAGACATACAGTTTATCTTCAAGTACAGTCAATGGTTTGTGCAGTTCAAAGATCCCACTGATGATCCTTTCCATCCAGAGCAGCAGCAGCATAAGAGTCACCTCCAGAGGAGTAAAGCAGCCTGAGTCTCTGGGGCTCCGGGTGTTAAGTGACACTGGATTGAATTAGCAAATAAAATGGACAGGCTGTAGCCGGGTAATTTACCATGTCAGGGCAAATCTAATTATCCCTGAGGTGCAGATGGCAGTGTATCCATTACTAGAGCTGAACTGGTAAACGCAGGCCGCTGTTATCTTACAATCCCGATTTCCTCTGCTTGGCTTTGTGGAGGAGGGAGCATGATAATCAGAGGCTGATTAAACAAGATTACTGCAGAGGTATTTAACACACTGAAGGAAGGCAGGACACACTCACTGACAGGTTTTTTACTTAACAGATGTTTAAGATATAGACAGACAGCAGGCAGTTTCACTCTCTGCTTACAGTGTGATTTACAGGACTCAACAGACTGACGAATGAAATCACAAACACATTAAAGTATTGAACATGGTATAGTTTGACTCACATAATTCATTACTCTAAAAAAACAATCACAATTTCAGATTAAGTTTGAAGATAGATAATAACCTGTTAAAAGGATGCCAAAACATGTATATGATGCTGATTTGTGAAAAGTTTAATGGTCATCTTCAAAACAAAAATACAACTTTATATAATCCTTGTTTTTATGGTGGAGTTTGGTTTTAACTTTTTAGATGCAACATCAAGATGTGACAAGATGTTGAATCTGTTTGAAGAATCTATTAAAAAGTTGTCTTTGTTTGTTTCTGTTTGTTGTTTGCTGTCTAAGAAGTTTTGTTCTATCAGGTGTCAGCAGGCTTTGGTGACTGCAGGAAAAACAGTCTGTATTGAGACTAAGAGATTAAAAACACAATCAGACGGCCATTTATTTATCTCAATAAACAGATATTTGCATGAAGGTCACAGACTAATGATCTGTTTTAGCTAATCTGCTTGATGCTGAGTCACTCAGGATGAGCAGCATTTAGATTTCGACTTGTTAGATTTCCTGACTTCCCTGAATGCATCATCAATGACAGCTCTGACCTCTATTCGACAAACAAACATTTTTAAATTTTTTTTTTTGGTCTCTCGATGACAGACCTAATAAAGCTTGGCTTCTGAATTTTTATTAATTACCACTTTAGTGCTTTTATTTTAGCACGCTAAAAGCCTGCTTAATGATTAAAAAAAAAAAAATTATTAATCAGTTTTTTTTCTGAGGTTCATATCGCTGTAATCCGAAGTGAAGCCTATGTGTGACTTCGTTTTTACAGCGAAACTGAGACTCAGCAGAGAACGATAAGCACAGGTCATGACTGGATTCATTTTGTGGTTGAATTTTTCTCCACGTGTAATCCAAACACCCTGGAGTTATTTAACCTTGTCTTCAAATGTGGGGTAATAGTGGAACAATGGGAACTTTTCTATTGTTCATTTTGTTTTTAAAGACTTCTTTTTTTCCCCTCTTTTCCTTTTAGACTTGTTATGAGAGATTGACATCAGTTTAGCAACAAATGTGGGCTTTTCTTGCTTAACGGCATGGAGAAAGATTCCAGGAAAGTGCATGCCCAAACCCTCAGATCGGTGAAATACAGAATTTCTTTTTCTGGTGTTCACCATACAAGTTTTATTTCCATTAAGCAAGACACAGCTGGTACAGAAATAACATAACCATTAATGCATGAATTGCTAAGAAATCTACCCAAAGCCCAAAATGTCTGCTAGCCCATGGGTCACCTTTGGGAATTATAAAAGTTTGCCAGAGTCTTTGTGGTGATCCATCAGAAATTTTCAGAGATATTTCAGTCTGGATTTAACTCACCAACTTTTCTATCAGTAGAAAGAGTGCTATGACTAGTGTTTTAAATAGCTAAAGGTATCAGCCAATGGAGTCAAATGTTGATTTAGTGATTTTCATTTTCATGCCCTCAGCAGGCGTCTTCCCTCAATGATACCTCGGCATCTCACCCATCCTCTAACACAAATATTTAGGTTCCTCTGATACATCTAATAAAACTGTTTAGAGTCCCCCCAGTGCTTCACCTCAGAGGAAGGACGGAAAGTATCCACAGTGCGGGGACCAGAGGAAGTGAAGAGCAGAGAGAGATTGAATGTCTATGCACACCTTATGTAAATATTTGAGACATCTGCAGATTCTGGGTAACCTTCTCTGTCTGAGAAAGATTAACTGTTTCCTGTGATTCTGACTCTCCCTCACCTTCCTGATAAATGCTGCTTCATTTGCTGTTCTTATCTCTGCTCTGTGTAACCTTTGTCTGATGCCTTAAAGGAAACTTTGACTTTCTGTACCTGCAGAGTTTCTCTTTATATAAAAGGTTATTGGAAACCAGAGGATCTTTAAAGGAGGAAATGAAAAATTAGAGCTTCCAGTCTGGTTTAGGTAATATCAGAATATTAGGTAATATCAACTGCCTTTTAGAAAAGTTTGTTATTCTTTGTTTTAGCAGCAGACCAATAGAGTTGTACATACCACTTAAGACTTTGGAGTTGAGTTTGATTTTCTTTTTTTAAGTCAGTTGAATTACATTGTAAAGTTACCCTTGTTCGCAGAGGCTGATAACCTTACTCCTGTACCACCCTCAGCTCCTTTTAGGCCAAAGAGTCAGCACTGAAGCAAGGCTATCAACAGACAGGATTGACTTTTGGATGTAATTTGGCTGTTTTCAAGAAGTCTCCTCCAAATACAAATTTTCAGTTTTTCCACGATTTACACATACATGATGCACCACCTGCAATGCACTGATCAGCTGTTTGCTTTAAGGGGCATCAAATGTCATGTCAAGGAGACAAGAAAGTTTTTCTGCAAAACCTTTTGCTAATTTAATCAAACATTAAAAAACCTTGTGGTTACTCAGAAGCTTGCCAAAGAGCAAATTTAAGCTGGTGTAGGACACTCACTCCATGACCATGAAAATGTGATTCATGCTTACATTACTTTCTGCCTGGATGAGTCCCCATACAGTGGGGTCAATCAGTTCTTCTCCTCCTCATGTCTGCAGCATGTGCAGGAGGCTGCTGCCAGATTTTAACTCATTCCTGAAGGCATGAGCATATCTTCTTCTCATTTGTCTACATCCTCAGTCCCTATACATCTTAGACAGCTTTAAACTTGAAGCCAACTGTCTCCACGCTCTAATTAGTGTTGATGCAAACTGTTGTTATTCTGATTTATACCATACACTTCAATGCAAACATGCATGTCCACCGAGAGGTCTCCTCTGGGCACTTCTTGGGCTGTTTGCCCACACAAGGTTATTTGTTGGTGAAATCGTTTTTCTTGTTGTTGTTGTTGTTTTTTTTTCCATTATCTCAAATTCTGCAAATTCAAACATGAATAAACTCAATTTCTTTTTTGATAGAAATTGATGCCTCTGTGTGTAAGGCACTTTTGTGTGTCCCTGTTTTTCCTCAATGAATAAAAACTCATTTGAGAGGACAGTTTCTGAGAGTAAAGAGGAAAGGGGAGTGATGATGTGTTGCTCTGCTTTCAGTTTCCAGACTTTTCAAACCAGAACAGAGGAGAATATATAACAGAACTTACAAATCAAGCGTCTCCTCCCCTCCTCGTGCACACGTGTCCGCCTGCGTCCCACTGGTGCCGAGTCTTATGTAAGTGGCATCGTTGAATTAATATTTAAGGTTTGTTTTGGGGATGGTGCTCCCTGTGTTTTTGATGCCTGGGTTTCTCCTGTGATGATATTTCAATTGAGCTGTTACATCATCTGGATCAGGGCCACTGTGGAGATAAAAGAGCCGTGTGAGACATTTGTGCAGGAAGCATGCAGCAGTATGGTCCATGTGATATGCATTAGGAGCTAACCGAAGAGGCTGCTCATTAATATCAATGTTCCTTTAGATGTGTTTCCAATAACAGAGCGATGGACTAATCTTTAATCTGGTGGTTATCAGTGAGGTTATTCATCAGCTGTGAATCTATGCAGAGAGCCTGCAGGAGTTTGAAACCTCAGGCTGACATCTTTTTTCTTTTTCCCAGAACAATCTCTGCTGTGCTCTTTGCTCTGTGTGCTCCTCTCAATGTAAGGAGTGAGATAGATGTGAGCCTCAGGGGTCGCTGAGTCGCTGTAACAATACAATACTCTCCTCACATCACAACCCCAGAGTCTGTTTTTGAGACCACGGCTGACTGAGCGCGCTCCGTCTCCACAGACGGCAGAGATGCTGCAGGCTGGGTCTACCTCGGCTCGGTGCACAGACACACAGCATGAACACACAAGCTTTGATGAGGGCGCTTTGAGATTCATCAGTTTGAGGCAGAGCTGAGTGTGGAGGTAGATGTTTCTGTTTCTATGATTGAATGTGTTGGTTTTTGTTCTTCAGTTTGCGCCAGGAAACATGAAACTTTATATTCAAGTGACAGACTCGAGACTACTCATTTTATTCGCTTATATTTGATGGAACAACACAAGCGAAGAGGAGGAAATAGGGGGAGAAAGTAGAGGACGACATGCACCAAATCCCATCAGAACTGATGATCAAGCCAACAACGGCTACAGCAAGAACTATAGCCTCTGTACATGGAGTGCCTGCTTTACCAACCAAGCCAAACTGGCACCAACTTACAATATATATACACAATGACTTACTACTTACTACTCTCCTCAGTTCTGTCTTTGTAGAAGACTCTTTCAAATACTGTCCACTTGTTTTTTATTGAACCACAGAACAATAAATCCCAGACTTTTCCAGTTCACTGTGTATGAGACAAAGTAGATCATTGTTTCTTTGTTTTTGACCATACAGCTGATTAATAATGTTTGATTATTCAACAACAATTAAAAAGACCTTTATTTCATTATCCAACTAGTTGTGTAGCACCATGTTGCTTAAAAATATTCTCATATGACCTTAAATCCCAAGTGGTGAGAAATGAGCATGAAAAATGCTCAAAATGACTGCCAACACAATACAATCAGACTGAATTGGCTGTGTTGTCAGAAAGCAAATACACACCCCTCTTTTTACCAGTTAAAATGCAGTTGTTTTCTAATCAAAAGATAATGTTGAGTTCTTTTTACTCTTACTGATCAGAATTGGTCAAATAAAGGCAACTATTGTGGTAATGAATTATTTTGCCAACAGACAGCATCAAAATTGAATTGAATGTTGGTTACTAAATGGATTTAAAAAAAATGTCCACCTCCATCTGCCACTAGAGATAGGTCACTGGTGATGTTGAAGAGGGCATTTTGTGCTATGACAGGCAATAAAACAGGACATAAAACATTAACTATCAGTTGAACCTTCATTTTCGAATACTTTCATAACATACAGAAGTTCAGAAATTTCCTCATATTGCGCAAATCAGTAGGATAAAGTTTAGTTTTATGAGTGAAGCTGGACCCTAGATAAAAAAATATATATATAATGTATAAAGATATATGTGGAAACATGCCTTTTACAGAGGAGCTGTCAGCTGTGGATAAAATACGGGTTGCAACAGGGTCTTATCTCACCCTGGGACTCTGTTTTGCATCAGAGAGCATATTTATTATCCTGCAGGTACAGATGACTTAGTTGTACACAATAAATACATGAAAATCTCTGGTTTTATGCTTTGAACAATGTATTTGGCAGGTGTGTAAGATTAGAAGAACCTGTAGAGGAAGAATAGATCTTCTTACTCTCTATTGGGTTATAAAAAACAATTTTTTTTGTGTTTCACTTTCTCAAGTTACTGCAATCTTAAAGCATGAAATGGAATTAAACTCCACCAAAAAATTCCATTTATATCTATCATTTTAGAAGACATACAATATGTATAAATGTTTTGTAGGATGTTTTACTTTCCAGTGACTTGATTTCAAAAGCTTTAGACTTCATAAAAGACTGGGGCTGTGCTTACATCAAAAGACTCTAACACCGATTTAGTCCTCAGAACACTGACTCTTTTTTACCCTTTCGGCGTTTGAGCAGAACTGGAGATATTAAAACTCATTTTCTGTCCTTATTTTTGTGCATTATATACATCTAACTGCACAGCTTCAAAATTACCTGAGACAGATAATCCTTCACAGTAACAATAATGGTGTAAACACTTGCAACAGAATTTGTCGTCTTTATCACACCCAGCGCTCTGAGTCGAATATTTCCACATCCCTCTGCTCATTATTTCACATCATGACTCACCTGACAACCTCGGGGACAAAATTAAAGCTCTGCCAAGAAATAATCCCCCCAAACACATGTCACCTTACAAACTTTATTATCACTATCATGTCTTTTTATTTGGAGGAGTTTTGCAAGCAGAACAGCAGTTAATTTCAAGCTTGGGTTACCAGCATCATAAATGTTGTGCCCTTTAAATGACAAAAATAAGCCAGTGACTACAAATCTTAATAATAATTGAATACATTATAATTGTAAGTAAAAAATATCTTCCAGAGCTCTTCAAAAAAAAACTCCGGCTTTGCTATCAACAGTCAGTGTTATGAAACTGCAGGGCTAACTTCAGGCTACCAGCCTCCTTGCTTTACGTCATATGATGATGTCCAAACTCTTTTTTCAGCTCTGTAGGTGAGTTTCTGTCCTCTGCACCCTGAAGAACTCTTTAAGGGTTTTACATTTTTAAACACTGAACCTTTTTTTAACCAAAAGCCTCCATATCTGCCTCCCTTATCTAAGCTTAATGTCAGAGTGAGTCACTGAGAGAGAAGAACAGACTGTTTCTGACAAATAATCAGAAAACCAGAGATGTTTTTTCAACCTTTATCGAGAAACATTCTCCCAAGTTATGCTATAATTGATCTGCATGTTAAACCATGTTGTTGCATAAATCTTTCACATTACTCATATTCTCTTAGGAGCAAATATGTTTGATTTGCTGCAGAACATGCCGTTCAATAAATCTGGCTTCTTTTTCAGTCACCCTTGATTTAGAAATCAAATGAATCTAATGAAATGTACTTTATAAGCCAGACTTTTAGATTTATTACTCAAATAAAGGCTGCTGTGCTGCACGGGTGTGGTCTGGAACCACAACTTAGAGTTAGAAAGCAGCTTTACAGAGTTTATTCTGCCAGATACAGGCTTTAGTTTTATTATCGTAAAGGATAGCATGGTAACACATTAAGGAATATTAAGCTGTGCATATACAAAATGACCCATGCTAATATGGTATGCAGTTGTTTTTAGATCTATCTGATAACTCATTGATGATAAGCAATCCCTGGTTAAGGAAATGGCATTTGCACTCTTCAGGAGTCCCATTGCACTTGCTTTTCAGTTTCATACAGATCCTCTATACGTAGATCTATTGTATCTTAAGGTTCATATCAACATGAAAATTTGCAGACATCTTATGGATTAAGTCTTACCTGCAGTCAGTTACCACCCATTTAACAGGCAAACTGGGTTGTAGTGTATGCTGCTGTGTAAGTTCAACAAAACACCTCTAACTTTTGGCATTGTGCAGCAAATTCTATTGGAGACTTGACATGTTACCATGACAAGTATGTCTGAGTTTTGTTTATTTGGCTTCAACATCATATGGTCTAGTTCTACTCCATAACAAGCTTTAAAATTAAAAGTCTATTCCGGAGTAAATTTAAGTTAAGGTCAAACAGACCAAAACACTGAGTTAGACACCCCCTCGAGAGATGAATGTTGCCGACTGCTAGCTTCTCTAGCAGCTGATTGTTTGTGGGGGAGACCTGACGAGTCAATTACCGAGCGCAGCGGAGATTCACAGCTCAAGGAAGAACATTTATGATCATTACTTCATGGAAATGCAATCAGACCGAGACGCTAAGGCAGAAGAACTACCACGTCTGCAGTGCAAAATGATTATTTTGATGATTATTACTCCGTCATCGACTCGTCAGGGCTGCCCCTCATAAACAAGCGACTGAGTTGTGTTTAGTCTCTTTGCTAAAGAAATCAGGCAAAGCTAAAAGGATGTCTGGTGGCTAGTGCTATGGCTAGGATCCTATATGTCCTGTTGATGAAGTTAGGTGCTGTTCTGGTTGAGGTTTGTGCGTGGAGACGTAGACCACTGTGTTTTGCTATCGTGCGGTCGTTACTGTAACTAGAGAAGCAAGCAATTGGCAATATTCATCTCTCGAGGGGGTGTCTAACTTGGTGTTATGGTGTGTTTGACCCTAACTTAAATTTACGCCGGAATATCCCTTTAAGGAGTTGCACCTTAATACCAGTTTTAAAAATCAGCCCAGGCTGCTCGGATCCACTCTAACCTCCAGGTTCAGGATGACTGAGCCACAGAGTTTGAATGAGCTCAAGTTTCTTTTAATGTTCAGTGGGAAAAAGTTCTTACAGTATTTGAGTCAGCTCTAATATAACTTCCCAACTATCATGCGTCAATGTATGTAGAGACCGTGGAATTAAATAAACATGGAGCTTCTCCTTGAGAGATTCTTCATGTTGTGTAACATTCGTTCATTAAATATTAAACCCTGAAAGTGATTACTCTCTGGACCTTATTACGCAACGCAGCCTCCCCACATCCTCGCTGCTATATTCAGACC